CAAAATCTGTTCATTTCCTGCGAATAAAATTCGGTATATTTTTAATGAAAAGGTCAGACGTCGCACGGTACAAATTTACTGTACAGATGTTGTTTTTTTTACCACAAAAATAAAAGGGCGCAATGTTAAAGGTCAAAATGAATTAGAACAAAAAGCACATTCACTGGCAAAACCACTAAGAGTGGTGAACCAATAAACTGGGATTAAATATGTCAGGGGGAGTGCATTTATCGAGTGCAGGCAAAAGAAAAAAAGAGGATTAGTATGTCTCAAACATGGCAGGAAACTCCAGCGATGAGTTCGTTTTGCATTGCTGTGTCCTTGATAAATCCACACCTGAAAGACCTTTGTCTCAGATAAGATAGAGAGAAACAAGTCATTCACAAAGTCAGTAGCAGAATGGGCAGTTCTTAGTTCTTAGCTTCGTTTTAACAAACTGATTTTGTTAAACGGGAAGTAACAAATCACACATAAGCAGCATACTAAAGGTGATCGGCTGGTATCACCTCCAAGGCAGTTTTATTGTGCGAATACTATCAATTATGCAGCCATCATATTCACTGTTACCACAAAATAATCGATTTGCATATTTTATCCGAAAGCGGGCTAAAAATATCATTTTATATTTATATTTATATAAATCCATTTAAATGGAAAAGAGATCGCCATTACTAATATATGTATAAATTTTCTGGGAGATGTATCCGATTATATTTTAAATTATGATGGAATTTTTCGGAGCCTGTGTGCATTCCGAGGTCTTGAAAATGCAATTTGTTTGGCGTGGTAAATTCACCGACATGGATTAAATAAATCCACCATATTGGATTGGATTGACGGCAGCTCAACCACAACTGCTGCGGGAAGGAACAATATTCTTTTAATCTGTAAATGTACATAACCCAGATTTGACTGGTCCCAGTTGAAGATTTGATCCTTCTCTTGCGTATCATTTTCTTTTCGTAATCAATACACAAACACCCCCACATTTTTACATAACTGTACATTGGAGACGTTAAACGGTATACAGTGCTGCACATCCCACGACAAACTGAAAGTAGTTTCTCGCAAAGTTCCCACAGATCAGTAGAAAAAGGTGCCCAGACTGTTAATTAAATGTATCCTAAATCATTTTGCCATCCTGTAAGAACTGTTAACGACGTTTATACCTTGTTCTACAGGATGCAAAAACAAACCTTCGTAAAAAAAAAAAAAGATCTTGCGCAACCCCGCCTAAGCAACACAAGGTGGCGCAACAGTCCAATCTTTAATGGGCCAGACGGCAGAGACCTAACCACTTGTGTGCCTGTCTGATGACGGGGGAGCCCAGTCGCCCAGGCGGTGCAAGAGAACTGTAGAGGAAAGTGGGGCTCTTGAGTAACCAACTTCAATTTTTTGTTTATGGAGTTCCTTCCTCTCTGTGCGCTGCTTTACAAAACACTGAGAATGCTCTCTCGTGTGAGCTGCTTCAGCGCCCGCAAGCTTGTCCGTCCTGCGTGGAGGGAACCGCACGATCTTAATTCTGCAATGCAACCATGAGGAGAAACTGAACACGCGAATTGAATTCATTATCTGTGAATTTTTCATGTTTTTTCTCTACCTCAAACTCAACTTCACACTATAGAAACAGGTAAAACACAGTCAAAGAGGAATATTGCAAACAATACAATAACACATTTACTGTGCAGTGCTACTTTACAGATAATGGATTCCTTGAAGTGAAGCTCCTACCCAGCGCCCATCAGTGAAACTGCCCCTTTCTCTTTCCCCTTTCTTGTCAGTAGGACACAAGACTAAGATAGTTGTTTGAACAGTCTGGCTACGCCTTTCTTGATAACACCGTCATTTCAGTGACAATCAGAAATATAACCACCAAACACCTGGCTATTAGATAACTATTTTGCTTATCTAAGTGTCTATCAATTTCAAGGCTGTTTTTTGTGGCGCATTACTTTGTGAATTTGGGGGGGGGAAACTCAAGGGCTACTGTCAGCAATTAACTGAGTAATGTCTTCATTTCACATTCTGTCCTTCTCTCTCTCAACTGCACAAGCCTAATTGTGTCTCTGAAGCACAAGCATCAGGAGGATTATTGTAATTATAAATCATATTTGCCCATTCTGAACACCATGAATAGTGTGGCACCATCCTCGGAAAGCCACATCACTGATTACACAGCCATGGAATGCATTACTTTACAACATGTTCAGTACGCCCTGTGTCAGCTATTTTTCCCTGTTCCCTTAACGGATTGAGCTTGTTTTGTGCCTCAGACTTCAAGATCCAGTCGTTTAATGAGTTTCCTTAAGCTGTGGGTTACAGAAAAGCCTGGCGCTGATAAACATGTCCCCAGACAGACTTCTCCCCTCATACAGCTGCATGCACATGTCAAATCAAGGAACACAACAGGTAGTGATGCACTAAAAGCAATTATGTTCCAAAGGAGGATGGAATCATCAGATATTGTATGCTAGCATTCATGCCTCCTTCATATATCAGTTACTACGCATAATGTAAAGGAACCAGCAGCTGGGCTGGTTTTTTTTAAATACATTTTGGATATTCCACTGCATGAATAAAATAAGCTGGGACTAATTTACTGTATTAATGATTATGACTCCAACCCGGGCAGTAACATCTGCATTGCATTAATGCATAGAGGTATTCAGCGTGTAATAGTGATTCCAATTTTTGAGCATCTGTTTTAATTCCAGCAGAAATCATTTCACGATTCTTCTTTCCCTTCAGAACAAACACGCTGGAAGGCAAGAGGCACACATCATCGAAGGTACTAATGGGCGAGCAGCAACCCAGACACAGGTTTGTTTAACCCTTCCCTTCTACGTGATGCCCATCTCATTTTCTTGGTCCTGAGAAAGATTCCTGTTGAGCTTGAACCAAAGCCCTCTGTGAGCAAATTGTGATTTGTGATCAACAAACCAACCTTGGTTTCTATTTTTTTTTTGTCATGTCTGCGGCATCACAACTGCGCATCTTTTCAGGCCGTACCCTTCTTTCTGCAGGGAGAGCTCTTGATTACGAACCCATCCATCCATTTTCTAACTGCGTGACTCAAGGGGGGGTCACAGGGGGGCTGGGGCCTATCCCAGCAAGCAACGGGTGCAAGTCAGGATACACCCTAGATGGACCGCCAGCCCATCACAAGGCAGGCACGGGCCTGCACACACTCACAGCAATTTTCCCAAAAACAATTACCATACCAGTATGTCTTGGGACTATACACAGGGAGAACATATTCCACACAGACAGCACCCCAGGTCTGAAATTGAACCCAGGGCCCCAGCACTGCGAGGCCGCCATACCCACCACCATGCCACCATGATGCTCTTATGAATCCTCCCAACGCGAATCCACTTTGACAGGATGAACTCATGAAAAACTCAGAAAGATGGTATCAAGCCCTTACTCATCTTCAGGATGCTACTCTTTGAATTAAATGTATTCAAAATCTCCTGAAAATCTTTATTAATAATAGAGTGAATAAACCATCTCGCTGACCTCTAAACGCCTTTGCTGACATTTGTTTCACAAAACCATGATTATACTGCAACTTGATCCCCCACAAGTAGATGTTCAAGAACCACCATTTTCACCAAAAATATACCATTACATTTATGTGACTTGTTTTGCAATCAAACATCTGAACACTTCCCCACTAAAAAAAGACAAGAAAAACTACTGATTCATTACATATTGGCTCAATATAGTGTAACGGTTATGTATTATTCATACAACAGATTTTTAAATCATAAATGTATTTTGCTTAGGCTGACTAATACAGATGTCAGGAAAACAAAACAGACTGGCTGACTCTGAAGAATTTATCTCTACGCTTGTTCCCAGCAAATGCAAATGCTGTACGACCACTTCAAACAATAGTTCCAAATTAACTGCTAATTCTTTTAATTGTAAATGGAATTAAACATGGCTAAATTGAAAAGCAAATGCATTACTTTGCAATTACCCATGTGGTTGCCATTTAAACCACTGAGCCTCTACAGAAATAATCTGGATAGTAAATAAACCTTGACAAAAAGCAGAGCTCTACTTCGTATAATTAGATGCATTAGCATTATTGTAGCTTGCAGGCAGTGAAATTAGATGGACCTGCTGCAAGACAAACATTTTTGAACTTAATTGTTTTCCAACCCTTTATTTTTTGACACAGTTACCTTATCGAAGCAGCAATCAGTGCAAATCCAGAACACAGATGTGCTCATTGTGTTTGAAGAGGCTTAGTATACTGTAACTACTTATTCTGCACATATTTAAAAATAATAATTTTAGGAAGAAATTCAAACAGCGTTATGTTCGGGCTGCCTATCGGACATTTTAAAACAGCCAAGACACTATAAAATGAAATTTCTTAACCCTTTGTGGTAGTATAGTCATGCTCATGAATACCAGTCAGTGCAGGGTAATTAAAACGTAAACAGAAAAAAAACCTTGGCGTATTTTTAAGGAAAAACACATTCTGACCGAAATGTCAAATGTAAGAAACACTGTGAAGGGCTGCAGGCTGTTGGCTGCCTCCTCGAACCCCAGGCTTGAGGCACTGACCCAAGCAGGAAACCAGACGTGACATCACAGCGGCACTGTCCTGGGGTAAAGACTCCGAGGAGGAAAAAATAAAAGGCAAATAATTTTGGAATCTACTATTAAAAAACCAAGTTTTCTTGTGCCTCAACTTTACCTCTGTCAATAATACTTAAAAGTAACCACCTATCCTTTGTCTAGCATAGGGGACACAAGTACTTTCAATATCACGTCACTAGTAAAATGTGCTAGACTAAAAAGACTAAACTGGGGTAATAAGTGTTTCTTTTTTTATGCAAAAACACGCATTTGTATTGTGCAAATGAGATGTACATTATTCTTTTAGCTGTACCATTTAAAAAAAAAATTACACAGGACTAGATTTTTAGCAGAATAACGTAACAAAACAGGGCTGGAAAAACCAAAGAAAATGATAACCGAAATATTTTCAGCAAAGTTGTATAAGGGGCCTGTCAGGTTTATTGACAGAACTAATCTTTCTTTCCATTCATTCTTTCTTTCCATACCTCTTTGTAGTTCATAACTACAAAAATAACAATAAGCATATTGAGAGAGAGAGCCGAGGCATTCACACTAAAAGCAACGCTCCATCAGACTAACATCATACTGAATTTCTTCTTTCAGGTTAATTTATTAGTTTCACTTCTGTTAATAAACCTTTTAGTCATGGTTCTGTTATTTTCACTTTTGTAACAATGTGTAATGTACAGCTGCATGCAAGATACCACTTAATACATCTTTCGTGTTGTTTTTGCCAGCAAAAGGTTTATCACAGCTTAATAAAAGCAACTGCTTTCCTCCCCAAATGTGGCAAAATTAAGATAAATACAAAGGACAGGAAAAAAAAATACATACGGAAGCATTTTAGGCAAGTCCAAGAACAAAGCAGTCTACTAAAAATCACTCCTACACCTACTGTTGAATGTGTAGCAAAAATACTAAGTTTAAGGTTCTGAAGAGATTCCAATATACAGTACACAGTAGAACTCCACTACATAGCACTTCAATTTACACTATACAAGTCTCTGCTGCATGCCTAAAAGCCACTTACTGTAACATAGTTAGCTTGAAGTAGCTGCCACTTGGCAAAACACACCGGTTTATTTTTTCTTAAAAAAGCAGCATGAAAAAATGTGTTCCAAATGGAGTTATCCCACTTTGGTTTTCTTTATAACCCATTCTTCTAAATTCATACTAAAAGAATATCTATACTTAAAAGATGAACACCAAAGCAGAGAGAACGTATATACACAATTTCATTCATGTTCTGCACAACAACATACAGTATTGACATATGTTTGTGGTCCAACTTTCACTGAAAGTTTAAATAGGTCAGTTTATAGCCTGACAGGATTACAACCCCATACAGGTGCATAGTAAAATTTGCCATACAAATTTTATAGAACCTAAAAAGTCTCAGGCCGACATGCTTTTTCAACAAGCTCAGATCTTCGTAAAAAGTTCTGGAAAATGTATAAAAAAGCCTCATCAGTACAGGTACAAAAGAGTCTGCTGCGCCGCCCCCCGGCCCCGCCAGGCTAGCCGTCTTGTGGTTGGTCCGCGCCGGAGGTGTCGCCGCTGTCCTCCGCGTGGTCACTGGCGGGAGGGGTTCTGGCGGCGGCGGGCGCGACACCGCCCTTCTGGAGGATCTCGGTGGCTTCGTGCTCGAGAACCTCGGAAGGCGTCAGGGCTTCCAGGTGACTGCTGCCCTGCTCGCTCACGTCGGAGCTGACCGACTGGGGCTCGTCCACCTTCCTGAAGAACTGCTCGAAGGGAACGCTGCCCCCCGAGTCCGGCTTCTCCTCCTCCTCGCTGGCGGACGGGCTGGGAGGCGCCTTGGCTCCGGGCTCCTCTTTGAAGATGTCCTGCGACGTCTGGTACTGGGGGCCTGGCGTGTCCTGTGCTGGGTCACTTGCGGAGGGCTCCGTCTTCACGTCACTGCCTCGGTGTGGCAAGCTGCAGTCCCTCTCCCCTTTCAAAGCTGCTCCCCGATCGCTGCTTTCCGAGACCACCTTCCCACCAGCGGCAACCTCCTTCGCCTCTCCAGGATCTGGAGGGTCGACCCTCTCATTCCTGGGGTGGAGGAAACATGAACACACACAGATACGGTACATTCCAGGGACTATGCAACAGTGCCTTCTTACTTTCAGCATGTTTTTAAATGTTGCTTACCGTTCAACATGTGTAGGACTGGTCGGACTTTTATTTAACTCATCTGTGCATTTACTTCCCTACAAAAAAAAAACAACCTTTTTTTAAAAAAGAAAACATGGTGAACATTAACGGTAAAAAAAAAAAAACATGGTGAACATTAATGGTCAAAATCAGGGGTCACCAACTCTGGTCCTGGAGACCCACAGAGCAGGATTTACAGGTCATCCTTTGCTCATTTGTTCAGACATGTATACATTTTTAAAATAAATTTAATAAAATGTATTTAGTTAATTACAGTCAACTGTAGTATTTGTGATAAAAAAGCATTAGGTATTTTCATACCAAAATGTCCTTTAAAAGTACCTGCTAACCTGCATAAGTGGTAAAAGCAAATTATTGCAGTCAGTTATAAAACTCAGTGAATTTAGGCTGACCTACAGCAGCTGTTGGAATGCGGTTCACCAGGACCAGGGATGACCACCTCTGGACAAAATTCTTGTTCGGCGAGATTTCAATTATGCAATTTTGAAGGAAGTGCAGTACGAAATGGTTACCTCAGAATCCTCTCTCTCTTGAACAGCATGACTGTCCCGCGGCCTTAAAAAAAGGCAAATGAATGCATTTCTTGCTGTACACAATAATGCCCATACTGACAGAAAAATTCTAAATAACTCCTATCACTGTACAAAGGCAACACTGAAAGAAGCTTTTCAAGACACAGCATGATTCATTTATTCTGTTTACATAACAAATGGCTAGTGCAAAGACAGCAAAGTCCATGCCTTCCATTAAACCTTGTGAAGTCATCAGTTTTAATACAAATGTAACCTTTCACGAGCCTTTGTTCAGAACGCACCGCTAACTGTATATTCTTTGTCGATGCTGCACTAAAGCCCCTTTTTATCTGCTGAAGTACCACACGGGATCCTCGCACATCCAAGCTGAAGTGTTATTAATCATGGAGTAAATGATTCATGACCTCAATGAGCCTTAATCCCTGCTCCTACAAGAAGCACTTAGCATACGAAGCAACTACATTGATTTTTCCTGCTTTGGAATCTCAGGAGGATGGTGACGTTAAAGCGTTTCGAGCAACTCATAAAAATAAATTAATGCTCCCAATTTCACTTCAGGATTTGGGCTGCAGCACTACTGGGCGATTTGTATTTTTGGAGTTTCGGTGGAGAGCAGCGATAATATCCATTAGCATGATTTTGCCATTTAAATCCATGGATGACCCCGCTGATATGACTGTACAATTATTTCCCATTACTTTCACCCTTAACTATGATTAATTAAGTGGAGGATTTCAGAGGGTAAGGCCCCCAGCTATCTTTCCTTGCAGGTCGTTTTAAAAGCCATATATACACAACAATTAAAAACACACACAAAAAAATGAATTAAGGGTAAAAAATTACAACCAATAATAACTTTCAAAGCAATTTTAGGTCAGGGAGATGGAATCTTCCTAAGGTGTTTAATCACACTCAGTAGTTCCAATAACAAATGCAGCAGCTCAACTCCAGGGTTTCACTCAGTTAAAGCCATTGTCAATGGCTGAAAACACTATGTACCTGATTACGTTGATCACCAAAGCAAATACTGTTTAATTAAAAACAATTTCCTCAAAACTCTTATCGACTAAATTATGTTTAGAAAGCAAGACAATAGTTCTTCGTAAGGATAATGTTCTTATGTGCATATAGTTTTACATTGTGCAGGGCCACTTTCAAAAGAAAATTATGTTTAAGTCTGTATTTTTAGGATTCTCAAGAAAATAGCATAAAATTCACTGTGGCAGTCATTTTCAAATGCACTGGGCTATTAACTATCAATGTCCAATGTATTTTTTATGTGTATTGTTTTTACTCACACTGTTATAGCACAATCTTTAAAACCACAAAAATGAACGATTCTCCTATATTTTCAGAAGTACTCTGTTCCCTCTTGACTTATTCTAATGTGCAAGGCTATAATGTATAATCAATACCTATTTTTAGCAGAGGTTACAATCTAAAAAAATAAATTTTACATTAAATTTCAAAATTTCCAGTGTGTAATCCTCATAATGTATACTGATATGAAAAGTAGCTTTAACCCAAAATGTTTTTTTAAATACTTACTCAGTTTTGATTCGTTCACCTGTGCAAATTTCAGCCGTTTCTGAAATAAAAGGGTTAAAAGTTAGCAACGCAATCACACATCTGAGACAAGTTTATTTTCCCCTATGCAAAGAGACTGTTTAAATTTGTGCTTATGAAAATGCTTGAGAATCACCTGCACACACCTTGCTCGACGATGACCTGACAGGTGTGGTTCTGCCTGTCGGTGAGGTGCTTGCTCATGCTGTCGGCACCAGATGAGTCCGTTAGAAAGTCGCAGTTCAGGCAAACTAGCGTGAGCCCCCTGCAACAACATCGGCATTTCATTCAAAGTGCCCAGAGTGTCGGGCGGGGAAAAAAAATTCATTCACATGGGAGAAACGCACTACCTGCTTCAGCCTTTCATCACCTGCATTTTAATATTTCAGAACGACCCCATTTATAAGAACATTTATATTCGTAAGTTCACAACACCGCAACTGGGAAAGTAACGGAAAAGCACAGAGAAAGAGGCTTGGCAAACAATGGGGGACCTGCTTCCTGCCAAGCCCTAAACGTCTGACCAAGATAGGGAGCATTGTGTAAGACACTAACCAAGGAAGACTTTGCTCTGCTGATGACCACATCCCTCAACACCTAGCTTATAATGAATAGCAAACAATGCAGGCAGATGCCCAACCACTGCAATCACTGTTAATTATTTATATTTTGGCAAGGACACACACACACGTGTGAAAGGAGTGATCCATCTCAATAATTCCTTTACTGGAAACTCACACTCTTAAGCACCATACTATCAAAAATATTTCAAGGTCTTAACTAAGAAAACCATGAAAAGTAAACAAGGTGTGAGGATATGCATTAGAATTTGTATTCGTTCATACCGTAGACTACCTGGAGGTCTGGTGCGCTTTTGCAATCTGTCTCTGGAACTAGCAGTGTGAAACCTGGTGATGACAGAAAAGCAGGTAAAAGTACTGCCAGCTGCTTCACAAAATCACATCATAAAAAACAATTATCCATCCTTTAGCTTCTGTGGAGCAGAAATGTAGAGCAAAAGGCATGTTAATTAAAAAGGTGCTCACTACGGGCATTAGATTGTTTTCCTGAGCTAAAGCATGTTTCCATATTTTCTAAATTTACATACGATATAGGTCTCATCTGAAACTACAGCGCTGCAACAAAGGGAAAAGACCACGGGCATCACGAGGAACTGAAGACATTGCTAAAATAATCAAATAATCATGTTGCTGAATCATGACGAACCTCACACTCAGACTGCTGGGTTGATGGCATGCAGATTGAAGGTTGGGGCACGAATCAGCTCCACTATAAACCTCTGTATGACAAACCAGGTAAGAATCAGCCCTTCTAGTAACATACTGCTTTAATCACATTTTGAAAAGCGTGTATTGCTTTTTGTTTGAAATATTAAATTTAGATACATAAAAATAGGTTTTCCTTTCAGGGGGGTTATGCACTGTATTATTGCTTAGCATACAAGCTTTAAGGTGACTTAAACAAATGATCACACCAAAGCTGAGCAATACCTCATCATGTGGTTCGCAAAGGCTTTAGTGCAGCTTGTCCGGTACGTGCACATGTGGCAATTCACAAATGTTGGGTAGTGAGAAGGGAAGTCCTTAATTTCCGTGTAACACTCAACACACTTCTGAACTCCCAGGTGATTCCTAAATAAAGAAAAAATTTAGAAAACAATTTGCAAACAATCTGCACAATCACATACATATTTATCCTCAAAAAGGTAAGCTCTTTTGAAGCCTGTCCTATGAAAAAGGAACCTGTAGAACGCAAAAGCACTTTTGACTCTTAAGAAAGAGTAAGACCTCGAGAAATAATTCATACGAGAGGAAGTCATTTCATGCATCATATTTATTCGGTTGCTACTAACTTATTGCCGATTGATCTGTGGATATTTCCCGGCTGCGTCCTGAAGGATCACAGTGAACCAGCTTGAACTCAGTGGCTGGGCAGTTTGTTCCAGACTCCAGGTCTGCTCTGCACAATGAACAGCTTCCAAGTTCAGAGTTACTACGATGCCATTAATAACGACAATTCCCTCAGGCTGCAGCAGGTATAAAAGTTCCCAAGGAAGAGGCTTGGAAAGGAAAACTACAGCTTTTCTGAATTTTTACCTCAAGTTCCGTAAAGCCAGTGTGCATCTTCCTGAAAGTTTTGAATTGTTCAGCCGTTCCTGCTTCTTGTTCTGGGAAGAGGACCTGGACCTTGCCTGGCTAGACTGGGATTTGTGGGACTGTTTGGCATTAGGGCTGTTGGGAATAATGCTTATGATGGACTTGCTGCTGGAATTAGGAGATGCAGGAGAGCCACCTGACGCCAAAGAAGCCCGTATAGTAACCTGAAGGAAAAGCAAAGACAGGATGACTCTCGGCCACCAGGTGACCAAGTCAAAGGAGAATGAGACACTGTTGGTAAAATTCACAGACTACCTTGGTTCCAGGAGGAAGCCCTTCTAAGGATCTGGGTTTTCTGAATGTTCGATGGTGCTGAGTTTTGTGATCCATTTTCTCCTTGCAGGTTAAAAACTGCAACCTGCACTTCGTACACCGATGAATCCCTTTTTTCTTATAAGAAAAAGAAGAGTGCATCTAAGTTTGAAGTACGCCAAAGGAATCATGTTGTAACAAGAGCTGATCATTTTAAATTAGCCTTTACAAATACACAAACACGGTCATCATCTGTACTGTGTATAGATCATTTGAAGCCAACATGTCAAGTTTATACGCTCATTTTTTCCAAAATGACAGCCAATAGTCCAAGCAGCACATATACCTGCTCCTCTCAAATTCTGGTTTATTGTCATTATACTCATACACAGGTATATGGTATAACGAAATGCTATTTAGCTAGCTCTCAGATGGTAAGCAGTACAAACAACAATACAATTGTATCAGAAAAGAAAGACAGAGACAACAGGCAATGTGCAAAACACCAACAGGCAATCCTTAATTCTTTAAGCATTTTTTAATTTTCACCATATGTACAAACTGTACATATACAGCACCTAGCAAAAATATTTAGATCCCTTAACAGTTTACAAATGTTGGTGGATTACAGATTATTTGAAATTGTGATTCATAAGCGCTGTCCAAGAAACGTGAATGAGCTGGAGAAAATCTGCCAACGGGAATGGGTGAAAATCATTCCTAAGCTGTGTGCAAGACTGGTAGACACTTACCCCGAAAAACTGCTGTTATTGCAGCAAAAGCTGGATCTACCAAATATGAATGTGTAGGGTGTGATTACTTAAGCAAGCACCATACTTAAAATTACAAGTAAAAGGTTTATTCCAGGCTGAAAAGAGAAGAAAGAAAACACAACGTTTTTCTCTTTTCAGCATGGAATAAACCTATTACGTTTTCCTTTGCAGACTACACATGCTGACCCAGCTGCCCACCTGAACTACTTAAAATTAGTTTTTTGTTAGCAAATGTCTTAAGTATGTTAAACGTCTTTAAGTATGTGAGTTTGCAATAAAAATACAGACAGAAAAAAAAGATGCGCATCGTTTGTAACTTGAAAACTTTTAAAGGGGTTGGATACCTCTGCAAGGCACTGTATGAAAATACTATACAGAGGCTCAACTTATTAAAATCCCACAATTAATAAAAAATAAGTATAAAAATCAACTCTATTCTCATTATAGTGTCTACCACTATATATCTTCATAAAGATTGTGATTTTTTTTAATTTATGAGTAATGAAAAAAAACTAATATATCTAATTTACAGCTTGAAGACTTTCAAAAAATGCATTTTGTTTTTGCAAATGACCGTTTTTGAATTATATTTAAAAACGAAGTTGAAAAAAAGACAATTATTTATGGTCATTTAAAAAAAATGTATAGACACTGCAAATGGCATTATTTATTTGTCAAGAAACCAGTCAGAATTAGCTTCAGAATTCACAGCAAGTGAAAGAAAAAACACCTTGGTTGTCAAACCATTATATATTGCTGCAAGGTGCTCGATGGACGAATAATCAATCCCTGTTCAAAATTAAACTGAACAGAGCAATTCACAAGTGAGTTACGAGTTATGCTGACTCTGTTCAAATTGTTGAGCTACGAGCTCTGAACGCAATTCTTTACAAAAAATGACAGATGAAGGTGTTCAATACTTGTACGAGCAGAAACCTATCAGGCCCCATCCTACTTCCTTCCCTTTGAGCGAACACCAGTGTCAACAGGACACAAATCCTCAAACATCCATTTGGTTGACAAGAACCAGCAAAATACTGTACTCCAAGGGTTGTAATTTCAGAATTTCTGATGAAATGAACAGGGTCTGGCGTACCCCCTGAAAAAAGGAAGACTCTCAGCCTTACCTGGTGCCTCATATAATGCTGCATATAAGGGGTCCCACTTCTAATCACTTTAAGGCAAAACGGACACAGGAGATACTTTGTGTTCTCATGGACAGAGCGGAAGTGATTCTCCACTTCCGAAAAAAAGGATGACCTGTAGTTGCAGACCTAAAAAAAAAAGTCAAAAGAGTTATGGGATCAGATTTCCCTTATTTGCATGTCTAGCCAGGCGTTCCAATTCCCAGCTGCTTTCTCGTTTTCGGTTATTACCTGGCAAACGTAGGGCATTTCTCCCGGCTTGTGATTGTCCTTCATGTGTTGTAAAAGCACTTGCTCAGATTCAAACGCTAATTCGCATATCTTACAATTGGCTGGAAAACAAAAAAGACGAAGAGAACGGAAAAGACTTTTAAAAAAAAACCTAAGAGTGGGGCAGGATGTGTTTACAATAACAAGCCGTCCTTCTAAACATTTGACATTTTTAACAAACGCGAAAGCGTGGCCTACAAAGGATGCTACTGCTGCTGCACTGAATCATCTGAAAGACCTACTAGTTGACTCGTACGGACTGTGGGCACTTTCGATGTGGCACTGCAGCTGGAAGGGAGTGGAGTACTGGCGGTAGCAGTGCTGGCAGGTGGTGTGGTTTTCCCAGCTCTCGTTGCTTTGCTTCTCGAGCTCCAAGTGGTGCTTCATGTGGTTCATGAACCTGCAGAAAGACAAGCCGTGCATCTGTGTGAACGTGCGGCCTCGAATGCCATTAAGGAAAAGGTCTGCAGTACCACTCGGGCGCCCGTGACCGGAGTGACAGGTGTGCATCGCGCTCGTTTGTGCAAATGCTCAAGCAAAGAGCAACATCAAAAGAGGCAACCTCAAGCGAACCGCAGCTCGTTTTCCTTTTTAACACTCGCAAGTCAGCTACTTAAATTAGATCCGCAGGATAACCTAGTTCGTCGAAGTTTAAAAACGAGCATTATTTCATGGCCCTGTTCACTCAAACCTCATCTAAAAAACAAAGTACTTTGTCGGCAAAGCATAAATGGCAACTTTCTAAATATACAGCAAATGAACTATGCTTAGTAGGTTTTATTCCTACTTCAAAAATGTACCAAACTATGACCCCTACTCCCACACTTTCTAATTTTATAGAAGTGTAATGAGTAAGATGGCCGTTCTCAAGAAATACAACACTCAGGTCTGAGGAGCATACCCTTTGTAAGCATTGACACAGCGCATTAGTTCCCAGCGGTTTAAAAGATAAATTACCGCTGCTCCTCCTTGTGCCTCTCTTTCTAAGCGCGTATAATAGCCATTATAATACCTGCAATTACAAGACCCTTTTGCTTTTCTTAATGATCTGCACTTCCACTGTTGGTATAAGCCTCTCCATTTTTACCTGCCGACTGTGGCCTGGCTAGGCATGGCCCATTTTTCAGTTTTACATTCTGCTACTTCAGCTCCCCTAAAAGGGATTTTTATGCGAAAGAACTATGACCTTAACTGCCAGACAGAGACTACAATACAAACGGGTCTACCCATTAAAACAGCTTGCAGAGGCTTTTTGCTGCATTTGAGAGTAAAGTTATTTAATCAAAAGAACAGTTCTTACACTGCGTAAACTACCAACTATTATTCATCGCCGGTCCCTAATGGGAATTGAGCTGAAGCCTGCTGATAATGTCATCAATCTATGTGAGAAAACTGTAATGAAGGTTGTAACGTTGCGTGCTCTTCTCTCCTTCCTCAGCCTAATCACTCTCCACGGAGAACATCCGTGGACTTCCAACTCGGTCCCGAAACTTGTTCCCTTTAATTTGCTGCAAGAATCAGTCACGCAACAGCTGTGAAGCATCTCCTTATCTTTACCAAGCATCACATTACACCTCTTAGAAAATAAACGGAGGACAAAACTCTCATTAATAACACGGAAACTGCCCAACACTACACATCTGAAGAGACACAAACGGTTTTAGCAGAAGACCCATTATCAATATTCAAACTCCCTTCTGAAATAAACTTGATCGGTGGTTGGAAAAGCAAGTAACTGACTGTAAAGAAAACTTTGGGGAAAAAACTGCTTCTTCGGAGCGACTGCTAGCTACCTGAAATGCTTTCTTTTGTGCTCATGACTGAACCAAGCTCTTCGACATGGATCTAGAACATTTCTACTAGCCTAACTTCACTGCCAGAATCACTTTCTACTGTAATCCATTAAGAACTAATTGGTCCCAGAATTGACGTAAATGAACACCTTATGTTGTTCTTGAGGATTTTTAAGCAACTGCAGCACTTGAAGGTTGTGTTAGTCTTCTGCTCCTGCTGGCCGAGACCGAAGTCCCCCTCATGTTTTCCATAGTAGAACTCATTCACCAGCATAATGAGTTTCCCTTTCTCAGCATCAGCAGACTTGACAGGTGTGGCTGGCGTCTCTTGCTTGGAGGTCATGGGGAAGTACACATTCATCATCTCGTAACAGCAGTACTAAGGGAAGAGAACAGAAAAGGGATGATGATTAAGTTACTTTGCACTCTCAGTTTTGGGTTCCAAGATCAAAACTGACTCCTGGTACACCTCCGGGTTCAAGTGTACAACAGTTTCTTCAAGCTCCGCTCTAATGATGTATCCAGTTAACAAGCAGAGACAAAACAGTAAGAATGAATTGCCTTAATTATTTAAATGGATTGGGCCATAATACATGTTCTCTGAAGTACATCTAAATATCCAGAAATACTGATCAGAAATATGATTGTATAACGATCTGTCTTTTGAAAATACACACATCTTGGGAAGATGTGAATGCCATGATACAATATTCACGCTCAAAATGGAGAGAAAAAAATTAAGAATGTCCACCATTTTTTTCACTCAAACCAATAATACACCATTTGTGAGACAAGTGCTCTGACTGGATTTCTTGCGTCTCTCCCTGATATTGTCTTGATTTTCCCCTCTCTTTACATTTTAAAACACATGGCTGCTTGTCCTTCAATCTCACCATCTGGCGACATCCACCTGTACACATGCTGTACCTGAAGAGCACAAGGCTGCCCTGCTGCTGAACCTTTTGCAGTGAAGCTGAACCCATGTGATTTGTGTGCATTCAGCAGGGGTGGAGGAAACAATGGGAGTCTCAGCTTTGCACTCCCTCTGGATACCCAGACTAAGGTCTGCAGCTCGGCTCTATGGGACAAATCTTCCCATAATGCATGTGGTAATAGCCAAGGGAGACATCAATATACTCACCCTCATGTGGTTTCTCAGAGGTTCAGGAAGGTTAAAATGAATGTTGCATTTCGGACACGCTTTAAGAAAGGGTGCCCCATTCTTGACATTGCCAGATGCACTTGGAGGAGTTCCTGAAAGATGAGCGATTAAAAAAATATTACAAGAAGAGTAAAACAATACTAATGGGAATTAAGATAATCACATATTTCAAGATTACCGAAGATTCTACACACTACTAGGCATTTGATGGCTTATAAAACAACACTCATTGCAACTTCCCTAATCTGTATATGATACCCTGTCAAGCTACTTTTAATTTAGAAGCTCATAAGAAAACATCAACTGCTTTCTAATGACAATGGATGCACATGCTGAGACGCCCTCTGTCAGACTAAAAAAAGATCCAATAACAGACGGCCATGGGAAGAGGAGGCTCAGACTACAATTCAGTAGTCAAACATTGTAAAGGAATTTCTGTCAAACTTGACAGCCCTTAAACAATATCATGAAAGCACAAAAAGCTTTGCTCCCGAGGCATGGTTCTGTAACAGGATGGGGACTTTGAAATAGATCAGAAGGGTGAGGATACCTGCGTCGAGTTTGGCCTTTTTGGGAACGTTGCCGTTCCCGTCCGACGCCGAAGAGCGTTTTGCAGCGGGGTTTGTACTATTGCCTACAAGGGAAAAAACAAAAGTCTTTCAAACATCCTTGGCAAATCTCACCAGATTCCTTGCTTTGAATGAATCTCTTGCCGTACCTGTTCTGTTAGTGCCCTGGGGTGCTGGCTGCAGTTGGGGGGAAACCACTGGGACAGACTGCTGCTGTGCGCATATGACTGGGGAGGAGTGCAGCGGGGCAGAGGCCAACTGGATCGGCTGCAGCTTTGTGGTGGTCATCTGCACGGGCTGCAGTTTCGCAGAGCTGGGCTGGGAGGAGCTCTGCACGTGCGCGAGGCTGAGGATGCTGCTCTGAATGGTGGAAGAAACCTGAACTTGAGGTCGATGGCTGAAGTTCGACACCGTTCTTACGGGGGTGACCTGATGCACTTGAGTGATTTGCTGAACAGGTCTGCCTACTTGTGGAGAAACCCCTTGATAGGAAAAGCAAATAACAAACATGCCTCAAATAATCTGAGAAACAAATTCAAAACAAACCACTGCCTTGTAACTACAGTAGATCTTTACACAAATGACTAGAGATAAGTCGCCCCGGAGCCCCCAGACTGCTTTCATAAGGCAAGGAATGCACAAAAATAAAATTTTCAAAGGTAATGCACAAAATGTATTTTTCAAAACAAAGACTTGTACCTGGAAGAACAGCGATAGATGTTCCACTTGGATACTGCGTCCCACCTGAACTTGCTTTAATACCCAGCATCAATGTTGAGCTACCGGATATCTGAGGCGAACTCATTATATAGCCCTGGAAAAACGAAAGGCACAAAAGGTCTTGGGTGTTCTGTGCTCTTTGAATACCAGCAACTTCAGCAATGGTCCTGCCCATACTAAAGGCACAAGTCATTAACGCTGCCACTGTTCTGTAAAATTGGCAACCACATTGAACTGCATGAAAACACAGGCGGAACGGATGTAACCACTACCTGATTATTTATAATTATCGGCTGGGCCGTGACTGCGGTCACAGTGCGGGAGACGTGCTGGGTCACAATCGGAATGGTTCGGTCCAGGGGCTGTGTGGTCACAGGAATGAGCAGAGACCTGGTGACAGGCTGCGAAGCTGGAGACAGGGGCCTGACTGCTACCTGAGGCACTATGGGGGCAGGGATGCCCCGGCACACAGGCTGTGCTGACGAGGGTGCTGGGGAAGGCCTCTGAGCTGGCTGGGAGGTGGCAGAAGCTCCGGCAGACCTCGAGACGGGCTGGTAAATAGCCGAGACAGCCATGACACTCGGAGCAGACGCGGGCGCCGTGTAGTGCTGGTTCGCAGCCTTAAAGGTAGGGCCAGGACCTAGATACATGCACAAGAGTTAACAGCCGGAATAAGTCATTCATTACAATTCCAAAAAAGAAATCACTCCAAAAAAAAAATACCGGTATTGTAAGATGCTGTCGATCTGTTGGGAGTTCCATTATCTACAGGTAACCTCTGTGGTGCACTATCTGTTAACAGATAAATACATCGCGCATCACAAATAACTCCCAGGGACTGAGACAGCAGGTACATCATGTCATCCTCATACTTAAACACTTCAGTTAAGAATGCTCATGGAAAAAACACAAAACATTTCACTCCATGCATCCCTAACACATTTCTACAAGACAACCTAAAAGACTGTTAGATTTGCTTTTATAACGCTACGTTTTAAACACTGAAGATAGCTGATTTACATTTGTAATTAATTCTATGGGACTAGACATTTTTTATGACTGCCCCTCCAGGTATAATGTTATGGACAGTATCAGTTAGAGGTCATAACTGATAAAATGCAATCCATCACCTCAGGTGAACAACAACAGGTAGGAGGTTGAAGCAGCTCCACCGCTGAATCCAGGAGGATTCAGTGTGCATGAACACTTCAGACATAAGCAGCTTCTTACTTCAGAAGTGTTCTTGAGGCAGAAGATATTCTTCAAGCATGAACTCGTGCCCATCTCCAGCGAGGGACTGCTCTAGAATGATAATCAGGTCACAGGCATGCACAACATTTTAAGAGAACAGTACAACTGCATACTCTGCCTGGAGTTGGCGGACGCTTTGGAGCTGGTGATCTCTCCGACAAAAATGGGCTCATCGTCGTCGTCATCGTCGTCGTCTACTACTTCCGGAATCCTTCTCTGCCACGGCTCCAGCTCCTCCTCCTCGCATTCCATGAAAAGTTCCGCCATTCCGAAGCTGGGCAAGAAGAAAGTTCACACGGCCATCAGAACCGGGAAGACTTCTGGACGGGGACTTTTGAGAAGAGGAAAGACAGGGCCTGTCCTGCTCAGTGTGAATACGCATAAGGAGCATTTATTTTGTGAAACTTTATGACTGGAAAAACAAAGACATCCGCACAACTTCTTTAAATGTAAAGCGCTCCCTTCCATCAGTGTTAGGATTCCGGCTCCAGTCCAGAAATTTCCATGTCTTGAAAGGGCAGATCAGAAGTCAGGGGAGGCTGTGACCGGCGCTGCGTGCTTGCAGGTCCCCAGTAGAGAAAGCCTGCCTGCAGGTTTACTGTGCAAAGGTACGACCAAACTCCTTTCCGTTTGTCAGAACCGCAGAGCCCCCTTCTAACGTCACTATAAGAAGAAAGACAAAAATCTAAAAGGTGGTACCGTATACATACTGTACGTGAAATGTGTTATTTTGTCCTGGTTTGATGATTTTTCAAAATGACGAGACTAAGGTTCGCAAAATGGAATCGTAAGCCTGAAATTACTGCAGCCATCAATTCAAAATCTTCATTCCTCCCCGAGGGGAGTGGGGGGGGTAATTTAATCAGTCTTTACCATCTGAAAGCACAGGAAGACTGTACCTGAAGAATTCTCCACCGTACTAAACCAAGCCCATGCGGGTGAATTCAGAACAACGCAGCTCAGCCTGCCCCTCAGAGACACTGGAAGAGGGAGCCATGCTGTCCCCCAGTCGTCCTTTCGGAGGTGAAAGCAAAAAAAAACACCATCAGGGCCTCAGTGGTCTTATTGTTATCCACTGACAAAGGAAGAGGTGACACTTCGCACCTGAGAAAACGACTGTGTGAGGCAGGCAGAGGGGTGGCGGTATGCATCGCAACCTTTCAGCTCTTGGATCGCAGGGTTGAGGCCGGTTGGCCTGTGGAACCTTCTGTGTGGAGTTTGAATGCCCCTCCCACGTCTTGGTGCTCTGCTTTCCTCCCACAGTCCAAAACCACGTTGGCTGAGCTAGCGACTCTCTCTACACTCTGCAAAGGCCTGTTCTTGCACCGTGTTTTTCTTGGGAGAAAACCTCTGGCTTGGCACGACCCTCACGCTACAAACCAGCGGCTTTTTGACGAGAGGAGCGAGAAAAACGATTTCTAATTCTCATGTCTGCATTATAACACTGCAGGCAGCTCCCAGCTGCTGCAGCCCAAGTCTTTGTTCTACCTGTAGCACACAGGCCTGCAGGATTTCTGTGCCTCATGTGATTTAAACAGAGAAATCCTCCCTACTGCTTTACTGGGAACACAAGAGGTGTATTCTGTAATTGTTAAATCACTCCTGTAAGCTGGGGAGATACGAACAGCCAAGCATAAAATAGATCATGGGAACTGGAATTATTTTCTACAGGAAACGCTGTGAATAGCGAATAACCAGCGATTTATGGACCTGTTGAAAACGATGTGGTGGAAAACAATCACTGACACTATGAAAGCACAAGGTGCACACCTTTCAAATACATCCATGGAAATAACAAAACCAAGCCCACATGTATTACTTGAGCCTTTCTGAGAATGAAATAACATTTTTCCTAAGATTTTATTTATTAGGCACATTGTACACAAATGAACCATGCAGACGGCTTACAGCTGAAGCGCTGTTCCTGAAAGAAACGTTGGAAAGTTGTCTCTTTTGTTCACTGCAGAAGCACATCGCCCCAGACACACACACACACAACAAACAAAGAAGGAGAGGAACGCAACAATGAAGACACCGGTACTTCTTCACAGTCGCGGGAGAACTGGGACAGTCCTGGGTCACGTTTAATCGTGAAGGGAGAGCAGTCGCCACCGGTCGGCGGCGAGCGCACAGTTCCTGCTCGCAGGCAGAGAGCAGCGGCTCACACGCTGCCCGTTCCGTTCTATGCGGTTTCTCAAGGCAACGGCTCGGAAAACCCGTCACAGAAAAAACACAGCAGAGATGTGCGCTCTCCCGAGCCAACAGCAAAGACGTGACAAAAAAAAAAATCCAACAGCTCGTTATTTGACGGAAGGCCTCAGGTGCGCTGTTTTTAAAAGATCACGCCACACCCAAAGGCGCGGGGGCCGTCTCCACTTTTGTTTTTGGGCGCAAACTCGCCGCCTGGTAAAATCGCCAAATCAGCTGCACACACAATCAGCCAAACATGGCGCCCAGCACAGCTACAGCTAGCAGTCTCCAGACAGGCATCCCGACCTGCTTTTACCCCCGCCTTTGCCGCAGGAGACCAGAGGAGTGCGGCGCGAATGCTCCCAAGGTCTTTAAAAGTACGAATGCAGAGGAAATGAGGTCTTACCGTCTGTGTTTAAGGAGTAATTAGGCGAAAAGCATTTTGCTGTTGACAGTCTGCATTATCTCGCCAGCACCAAGGCTGCTCGCTGGGAGTTTGCACTGAACACTGTGGTGGATGATGGGTAATTTCAGGTCAGCTCGGGTTTATTTTTCATTCCCGGGAACTGGGGTTAGGGATCCCTGAGACATTGTACCATCCCCCACCCAGACATAACATGAAAACGCTACTTTGTAACTGTTATTTATTAGACGCGGTATTAGTGCTCACAACATGTGAACGCGAGAGCTAAACATGGCTCATGTGCATCAGGGCTGCCTAATGGCGTAGATTGGGAACGGACCCAATTTCCGACGTTCGCGTTTGGCACCACCTAGAAATGTCAACACTTACATAATCGCAAAACGGTGTACAGCAAAGGTTAATTTCTCGCCAATAGCCAAACTGCATCGTACATCGGGGCTAGTAGGCTTTCATTTTGGAAACTGGACGCGATGTGTTGTGTAATATAAAAATAAATCTCTAAACGTGACGTAGTTACACTGGGAGATCGCGTCATTTGAAGCGTTATGAAAACTTTTGCACGCAAACGGTCGCACTAGTGAAGCTCATTTTCAAAAAGACAGCTTTTTAAAAAAAACACTACCCGTTTTTTTCAAGAATTTCTTGTTCGTAGATGGCGATCACGGCTACGCGTTCAATCCGTTCCTACAAACGAGCGAAGACGCTTCCCTGTTGCACGTGGTACTGTACGTTCTGAGTTTGGTCACGTGCAGGTACAAGAAAGCAACACGAACGCAAAACCCATAGCCGCGCTTGCATGTGGCTGAAGCGAGATATTCACTGTCGGTAATTCTCTCATTTTCATATTGTGTCCTTTAAAATAAACATTATCAATTAACAGGAAACACTATACGAGGGCACAAGACGCATCGAAAGGCCCCATTGGACAGTTATGTTCGCCTTTATAACTATAATATTGTAACGCAATGGGGGCTCAGAGGGGCGCCCTTGCCGCATCTGGTCGGCCCCACCCCGACTGGAGGCTCGAACCCGGGACTTCCGCGTCTCTCTGCAGCGACCTAGCCCCGTGAGCTAAAGAGAGATCTCTCTACAGCCTTGTAGCTGTAGTCCTGCTATCACAGGGAAGGGCGGTGACGTCACCTGCTCTGGTACGCCGGCTCTTACACACAGTGCTTGTCGGCCGTAAGCGTTACAATATTGTAACGCATACGGCCTCCATTGGTTGTGAGAGCCGTCTTACCAGCGCGGTGACGTCACCGCCCTTCCCTGTGAATAGCTGGGACCGCAGCCGCCGGGCTGGCGGGAGATTTCCCTTTGGCTCAAGTGGCTGGGTCCCTGTGGAGTGACGCTGGAGGCCCAGGGTCAAGGGGCCGACCTGAGGTGGCAGCGTTGAGGGCGCATACCCACGTGAACCCCGGAGCGTTACTACAATATAATATATACCTATAAATTTATTTTAAAAGATAATTGTCGCTCACTGAGCAGCACAGTGAGGCATCGATTAGCACTGATGCTTTGCAACGCTGGGAATTTCCGTTTGGGTCCAGATCTGGGCTATCTGTGTAGGGTTTGTAGTGTAGCGGTTTGGCGACCGCTCCGTCCCCTTAGCCATGCGCACGCAAGGCGGGCTGCATACAGCGCCTGAGGGGCGGGACCTGGGTTACCGGACTGTATATGTAATAGGACGTGGGCTGTGTGTAGGGGGCGTCCTCTTCCCTTCTGCGTCTGTCTGTGGTGTGGGTGTTAGTGCTGTACATGCGTGTGCGTGTGCCGAACCCAGTAGCTGCGTGAGGCCAATACATGTGTTGCCAACGCACTTAAGAGGTGTGTCGGCGTGCTCCATTCCCTACCGAAACCCCGCGGTCGTTACAGTATGTTCTCATCCTTAATTGCCTTGGTTTCCTCTGGGTGCTCTGGTTTCTTAACAGTCTAAAGACGTACAGTACAGGCAGGTTAATTAGTGTCTGAGAAAACTGGCTCCAGTGCGAGTGTGCGCCAGACACTGAACTGGCATCTTCATGCCCATTGCTTGCCAGTATAGGTTCCGCCTCCTAAAGTGCGACCCTGTATTGGATAAAGCTGTTAGGAAATGGATGGATGATCTGTCATTATCAGTATGTATTCAATGCATACAGGAGTTCGGTTGCTTTTTAGTGTGGCCTAAGATGCTATTTTATGGAGAAGTCCGTGAATGATGCAGCTTCTAAGAGAGCAAGTCTCCCATCCATGATTTCTATTATAAATTTCCATAACTTTGGACAAAGTCAACATCATATCAGGAAAAATAAAGCAAATCTAGACATAGATCACGAGATCAGGAAGCATCTGTATGGCTCCACTTAGCAGCTTCAAGTGTAGTTAAAATTTATGTTTCAACCTTTTTGTTTTAAAAGTGTCTTTTAATTTGCATTCTGATACTGAATGAGTTTACTGTCTTAATGCAAAGCTGCTAGACTTTGTTTTCATTGTAGCAATTACATTACATGAGAAAGAGAAACATGAAAGTTTTTTGTGCTTTGAAAGTTACTGGTCTCTAGATTCTTCGGTAATAAATATGCAAAGCCATGAACTGAAACGGCAAAGCGATGAATAAGGTTTCAGTAAGAATGAGAGACAGATTGTTTTCTGCTGCCTCTCTCATTTCAGCCCCTTATCTGTAAGCGTGGTATTTCCAGAGGTAACAGGAAGTTAACATTTATCTTCAGGGATTTAAAAACAATATTCTAGAAACATAGATCGTTCTTTGACATATACTGTACATAAGGAGATACAGTTTGAATGTCAATAACATTACAGTATTTTATATTCAAATCTGTAGTTCCACTCTGGACTGAAATTCACTAAACTTTTAATTTGGTGTTTGGGGCGTACAAATATGCTTTGTTATGTGGACCATTTGGGCACTTCTGAGAGTATTAAATTGCAAAGTAATGAAATATGAAACTGAAACAATGCATACATAAAGAAATGCTTTAAATATAATCTTTAGGAAATAATCCATTCATCTCTTTTAAGAAAGGCTTCTTAAAATGTCTTATTTAGGCTCCTAAAACACAGATGGTTATGAGCAGCCCTCAGCTTTGCCCGTTGTTTGTCTAACAGGTAGTTTTCATTATCTACTGATACTTCAGCCTTGCCAAAGGCTTCTACATATGTCCATTTAGACTTCACACATGGATAATTTACAAGCTTCAAAACCACTTTTTAGTCACTATCATAAAACGCTGAGCAGTTTTCAAACTATTTATTGTGTGTTGTGTTGTAAAGTGAGAAGCAGAGAATTCAAATGTGTGATCAACTGAAGTTGAGATAAAAGTCACTCAAGCAGGCTCTTATAAACCTAATATAAACAGGTAACATTTCCTATCAGCAAGAGCCAAGTCTGAAGGCAAGGTCTGTTTCATAGCTAAAAACAGCAAAGACAGCCCAGACAGAAATTTACCTCCTCCTGCTTCAGTTGTCTGTCTATTAGAAATATACTGACGTTCATAGCCACATGAGAAGGAAATGTGGTCGGTAAGTATCCCCAGATTGTTTTCACTAAATTAAACTGGCAGATGTCATCAGCTCTATTCTTGCCATCTCTACTCTCAGTGGTCAGATGATCCTGATTTCATCTCTGTAGATAAAATGTGTAACGGAGCAGAAGATTCCTCCCACATTATGTAAACAGAAAGGATCCTGGAAGATAATGTCCTCCAAACAGCGGTTCTCTGCTTTTCTTACACTTGTAAAGGTCTGTCAGAACCACAGGGGAGAGAAACTTGAAAGACCTCCTCTTTAAATAATTGTTTTTCGTCCAAACCGGCTTACATTTACACCCTTTTACACAGAAGCAGTTTTTTTTTACTGGAGCCATTCAGGTGTTCAAGGGTACAACAGCAGTAGCTTATCTGTGATTCAAACACACCACCTTCCAGTTGTGTGTCCAATATCCTATCCTCTGCTCTACATGAGCTTTACACTTGGCCATTAGTGCTCGATACATGCTGCTGGTATGACTTCTATAGCACTCTTCTGACAACCTGCGTGAAACCTGTGTGAAGGTGTCATTTAGCATTTCTTTATCATCAAGAATTATTAATCTCCTGTGAGAAACTACATACCGCTTTTATTGTTCTTTTGTTTTAGTACGGAAGAAAATGCTTTGGATTATTGTTAATGCCTCTGTTACTATATTTCTTTTCTCTCTTGGCAATTCTAGTAGCTTGTTTCAATGCTCCTTTTGTCTCAAATCGGCTACATCTGTTTCTCTCAGTGCTGAAGTGGTTTTCTGCCACACTCTTGATTGCCTGTGCATGAACCTCATCACAGTGGAAAAGCCTGACACGGGGGCTGGTAGCCGGACAGTCTGGGTGAGGTGAGTTTTAATTGCACCGATGATGTCAAAATCAGAAATAATATGAAGAACTGGGACTGTTGGTTTCCAAAAACACCCCAGGGTGCGCCTGAGGCACAGTGCAGAGATTATACCAGTCCCAGTGGGGTAAAACTAAAGCTAGACCCTTTTTTCCATCTTAAGTTTTCTTTTTACAGCAGAAACAACTTAGAAAAAAAGCAGGAGTAACTCACTGGCCAGCTCCATTACGTAAAGAACTAAAAACGGCCACGTTTTCACAGCAGAAAGAAATATACCTGACACTTCCATCATGGGTGAATGGCACCCAGCTCAAAATACTGACTGGTGCAAGCCTCAGTGGGGTGATGTACAATGGGGGAAAGCAGCACCAGTCTGCAAGCATATGATGTTCTGGAACAGACACCAAGACACTTTCCAAATACAGGACTTTTCAACAGTATAACTAAAAAAAGCTTAATTGTATCAATTGTGGCCTGGGGAAGTATTTGTTCAGTGGCTGTAGGTCACCCAAAGCATGTATATTGTATACAGAAGTCATAGACTTCTATTTTTTAACTATTCACTGTTTTTCATGGTTTTCCACCCTGTGCTTTTTGTCTTTCTCATAGT